TTAGATACTGTTTCGGAGTGGTGCTGTGAATGGAAAATTGATATAAATCCAGCCAAAAGTAACGTTATACATTTCAGGAATAAACCTGTCAGTCGATCGGACTTCCCATTTAAATGTTCCGACTTGGATATTGACTACACTTCTTCATACAAATACGTGGGTATATGGTTAGTCGAGCATTTGACTATGGACAAAACAGTTGAGGAACTTTCGAAGTCAGCTAGCAGGGCACTAGGCGCGCTATACGGAAAGTTTATTAGTGCTGGTGGAATGTCACACAGTGTGTACACAAAATTATATTCCACTATTGTAGAACCCGTTTTATTCTACGGAGCAGGCATTTGGGAAACTAAAACATTTTCAATGATTAATTCGATTCAGAATAAAGCATCTAAGTTATTCCTGTCAGCCGGTAAATATACATCAAATACTGTCGTCAGAGCTGACATCGGATGGTCCTTGTGTTTTACCAAACAACGAATATCTTGTATTCGTCTGATGTGTCGAATTACTAGATCTGATGATGTCCGTCTTACCAGTAAGATATCAGCATGGACTGCAAATAGGCGTAAGGGATGGCACTACCAAGTTAGCAAAATGATACACAAGATTCATGCTACGGACATAGTCAACGATAATAACATTACGACAAAAAATGCGATGAGAACAATTTATGAGCGCGTAGATATTGTAGAAAATGACGACTTTGTTAGCAAACTTTTTAATGACAAAAAAAAAATCCAAACGGCAATAAACTACCTACATATAGACTATACAAAGAAAAAGTAGAAACAGAAAAATATTTGAAACTTCAGTTGCCGAGATCGGTCCGACGAGTTGTTGCCTTGTTCCGAAGTGAATCGCTCCCGTTGGCCATCGAGACAGGCCGAGACGCACGACCGCAAATACCAGTTAATGAAAGGAGATGTAAATTTTGTCCGAATGACGTCATAGAAAACGAAAAACATTTTCCAATGAACTGCACTATGAATGATGACTTAAGATATAATTTATTTTCTCGAGCAAAAAACTTTATAGAAAACTTTGATACTCTTGATATTGACAGTCAATTTATCAGTCTTATGAAATGTAAAGAAATGCAATCCCCATTATCATACGCACTTTTCAATTTTTATCGAAGAACAAAGAAATTTATTTGAAAGTTAACATATATTTTTCATAGTTATATTTTTAAAGTCTTTTTATTATTGTTACTATTGTTACGTTTTAGTACAGATCTTTTATCTAGATCCATTTATTTAATATTAATCACATTTAAATTATTTTATTTTTTCCCCTAGAAATATGTTGTTTTATTGTTGTTTGTTTGTTGGTTTTTTTTCTTTTAATCATTGCTAATGTTTTTAAACTGTAATCCTTTTATCAATATCGTCTATCTAATATTAATTAAAATTTTTACTAGTAAAATGTTTTAAAAAGCAGTTTACATAATGTGATAAACAAGTAATTATTTTGGAATTTTATAAAGATATATATAAATAAATCCTCACTTTATTTTTTATATAAATGTACAGTTGTCTGATATTGTTTTAAAGTGTCTCATAAATCTATTCTAAGGCTGGATATTTGATCTCTGTTTTCATTATGAATTGTTGTATATATATATATATATATATATATATATATATATTGTTTGATTAAATATGTGACACTATAATAAAATAATTAATTATTTATTATTTATTTATTTTATGTTAACCTTCAGCTGTACTTTCATTTTGTCTATTGTTTAAGTTGAGCTACTGTTTAAAGGGGCCAACATGTAGGATAAATTTTAATGTAAAGAAAGTTTATTCACAAAACAATTTTCACACTTGTTTTTAACGCCATCAACTTAAAATGTTTTACAATGAATAAACGTATTTTTGGATTATTTAATGATATCAGCTCTGAACATTATTATTCTTTAAAATGAAACTGTTGTATGTGATGGTATAACAAATATTTTTTAACAAATCTTTTAAATTTTTGTGAAAAGAAAGTTTCGTTTTATGTATCGAAATGTGTAAGAAGTGATCATTATTTAAAACCCCACTGGAAGTCCTCTGATAGACTGAGTGAGCATAAAATCATTGTTATCGATAGCCGATGGCAAACAAGTTAAAGGTAAATTATTCAGGATGCATTTCTTTCTTACCAAAATTTTGTAAACGTTGTGCGCCGTTTGTGATCGTTTGCTAAACGCTACAAAAGTAGAAACAAATACAGCGTTTAATCAGTGTTTACTGACCCTGTTTTAACTTAAATAATGCATGCAAATGTTGTTGGTAAACAAACTTATTACAAAAGTTGAAACAAACACATCGTTTAATCAGGCTGAAGTTAGAAACAAATGTAGCGTTTGTACAAACAAACGATGAACGACAAACTGTAGACGCTGTTTTAGCGAGTGCATAGTTTGTCAAAGTTTAGGTAAACTATGCAAACGTATGTTAGAAACAAATGATCAAACCATGTACGCGCTTAGCCGTTTGTATCGTTTGTGTTAGAAAGAAATGCACTCTCAGTAATAGTTATCCCATGAGGACGCAGTGTGTCAGTGTAAGATCACCCCGATGGCCGGAGGCCAGAGGGTGATCTAACACTGAGACGACAAGTCCAAATGGGATAACTATTTTACATCCCAGCTGTTAGATTAGACGAAAAACCATTTACCATACATAAAATCTAGTTTAGAACGCCACACAACCATTATAATATACTTTATATATTACTATATAATATATACCCTTTATAACCCCCGAACATGATGTTTAAATATGAAACCATGTCAACTCGCCACACTGGCCAATTGGCCCTCACTAAATCGCCACTTTCTAAAAAATCGCCCCACTCTTGTTTACTAACTCTCCTCACTTATGAAAAAGGGTAAAATCCCATTGAACATTCAGTCTGACAACTCGCCTTATTTATGAAAAGAGTTAAAATCCCACTAAGTAAAGGTGTGCCAACTCGCCCCACTTATGAAAATATCTTGCTTCCTTTAAATATATTGAATTACAGAGAATTGGTATCCAGTCGTCCTGGTGTAGGGGTATGTGTCGTGGGGTAATATGCTAAAGGTCGTAAGTTCGAATCCCAGCATAGACAATGAATTTTTTCTACTTAAATTTTGAAAGTGTGTCTTTATTCTATCCTTTATAAGAATAATTCTAAGTTTTATTGTGGATTAGGCATTCCCGCCAAAATGTTGCAAAACAAAGGAAAGCATGCAAAACAAAGAAACTTAAGCTGGGGTGATCCGGCTCAGATCACCCCTGGTAGAACAAAGGAGCTGGGATGTAAGTATTATCACCAACAAAAGTTTTACGGTTGTCTACGCTGTTATGAAAACAATTCTATAAAAATAAGGAGTTGTGATATGATTGCCAATGAGACAACTATCCACCAAAGTTCAAATGAATTGGATGTAAGCAATTTTATATTTACTTCTATAATATCTTTATGTTTTTCTACATTCTTTATTATGTATATATCTTTCTATCATATCTCATTCTTTTTAAAAATTATATGCATCTCCTTATCTAAAACTAGTTTGATTACGCATTTGTCTTAATAGTCTAGTATATGATGCCCTTATATATATTGTTACATTCTGCGATATATATTTATTGTTTTGAATTCAAATGATGTAAAATTGTCATTATTTCAAAAAATATTGTATTCCAGTTTTTGTATAAATTAAACACTTTACTAAAAACATTATCTTATTGCATTGAAAGGTTATGTAAAATGTGTATTGTAGTACTCAGTGGACAGGATAAAACTTAACTCATGCCAACTATTTCTTTATTTGAATCAAAGATAAATTCTGTACAATTGTTCTACAAATGTGTAGATCTTTAATATATTTAAATGATGCAGGATATTTCGTTTGTACGATTTGAAAAAATACAGTAAAACGTATATATCATCATCGTTATTTTACCGATTGTCGTGTCTTATTAAGTTATTATTTGAGAAAACATATTTTGAGATCAACCCATTGTATTATCCGCTGTCTATTGTTATTGGTATGTTGCTTGGAATTTGTTTGATTAAATTTATCATTGGGTTGCAGTCTAATTGACGTTATCCTTATACATTCTTGTATTCACATGTTCACGCAGAGGTAACGACCCATTGCTGAAAAAATGAAAACAACACGTTATAAATTTCATCCGTCCGAAGCTCTTTTCTTGATTTACCTTCATCTGGAACGCTAAAAGCCGAATATGTGAAAGCCACGGATGTATAAGAACCGAAACAGTTGAAGAGCTATATGACCAAAAAGAACCTAAAAAGAATTAGCAAAATCTATCTAAGGTCAACATTGCATGAGGGAGTTTAAACCTTCAAAATGTATAAACGGAAATTGTTAGAGAGGTTTGTTATAAATCATGTCAATACCGAAGTAGAGACTACTGAGTTTGTGATACCCTCGGGGACTAATAGTGTAGATATACCGACCCAGTACTGTACAAATCAAAACAACACGTCATAAATGTCATGCGTCATGAATTTATACAATGTGTTCAAAATTTTTGTGCACAAAGAATGAAATAAGAGACAAATATGAACATATTTCATTTGAGGATCTCAACTTTTTAAAAAGTGTTTTTGAAAAAATACATGGTCGAGTAAATAAATATTTAGCAAAAAATGTTTTGTTCAATGGCTTAAAAAAACTTTTCAACATGATTGTTTTAACTAAAGTTATTTTGAGATTTTGAAATATAATATAAATATGAATGAGCAAGATGTAGATTCTTAATGTTCTGGTGTCTTATATAACTACTTGCAATCGTTTATGGCAAAATCGACCATATTACTGTCATTGTATTATTTGATTATATTGGCTTTCATATATTTTTTTCATAAGCAGAGCACTTTCATTGCAAGTAACTAACGTGAAAATAATAAAATTAAAACAACCAAAACAAACTATTTGAAAATGCTATTTATAGATGTTTATTGATTTCTAGTGAGACATCAACGTGACGTCACATGTAGATATTTAAACACAAACTGGGCGGATCTCAATATTTTATTCATCGGTGGATTAATTTCACAGAAGTTTTATTATATTGAACAATCTACTATCTTACAGTAAGTTTGTTAAGTTGAATGATGATAATTGATAACTTTCATAAATATTTGTAATAAGTGCTTTTCTTTCAAAAACAATTTACAGTTGGAAAAAGATCAGGAAGTTCAGTGCATGAGGAAAATCGATAATGTTTATATGTGATGTATCTTAGACATAACATAATGCACTGGTAATTATTGTTCCTGGACGGATTTCCACTTTCCGCTGCTAAATGTATATTTTGAGAAGGTTACCTCTGAGAAAGGCAGGGAGAAGTATGGGATCCAACAAAAATTGACACTAAAGGATTTAATGATGTGCTAAACGCTATTAAAAACGTCACTTCAACAAAAAAGCACTTTTAATTTGAATCGTATGGTACTACATTGTGTTGATAGTTATATTTTATAACCAACTCTAAAAGCTGGGGCTTTATTGCAATCACCTCGTCCGCCCCTCCGTTCTTTTGTCAAACAAATAATTCCGTCACACTCTTCAAAGAAACTACTTATCTAATTAGACTGACTTCATATTTGGTTACAGGCTGGTCATTGATGAGTTGTAACGTGTGAGCACTATTCAGATCTGCCAGATACATATTTCCTGTTCGTATTTCCTATTTGTCGATACTTTGAATTTTTCAATATGCTAAATGAACTTAAAAGTTTTCGTAACATTTTTCTAAAAATCTACAGTACTGAACATAATGATTTCAAATTTTGGCAACAGCTCATTAGTGATAAAACGAGTGAGTACTTTCTGATCTTTCTGATGGCTTCTTCCTATTTGAGGATACTTTGATTTTTTCAATTTGCTGAATGAACTTAAAATTTTTCTCAAAAATGTTATAACATTATATAATATGGTTAGCAGCTTATCAGTGATGAAACGTGTGAGTACTATTCGGATCTGTCAAATACCTATTTCCTGTTTGCCGGTACTTTTAATTTTTCAATATGTTGAATGATCTTAAAATATTTGGTCCCACTTTTTACCGGAAACTACTGAACAGAATGATTTCATATTTGATTAGCAGCTCTATAGTGATGAGTTGTAACTTGTGTGTGCTTTTCGAATCTGGTAGACACCTTTTCCTGTTTTCTTATACTTTCAATTACGAAAAGGATATGCTTAGCACGAAAACGCGTGCATTTTTGATTGCATTTTTCTGCACAAAGTCCTGTTTTCGCAGACTGTTTATGACGTATTTTCTCTAAATCCATTGAGGATGTACTGATTAATATTTTAGTCTGAGAAAACATTTATAAGTTGAATTGGCTCTGAACTAGCTTTCAACTATTGCGAATACTCTTAGATCGGTACCTCGTGATTGTTTTCTTTTTGCTAGGGGTTTTGTGTCTTGTGCCGAATTGACAAGTCAAGCCTTTCAACTGAATGTTAGAGTTTGTTCTTACAAACCTGTTTGTTGTGCTATTACACCACTTTTCCATGTTAGGAAAGGGGTTGATCGCTCACAAACATGTTGGGGCTTTTTATAGCTTACTATACGGTATGTGTTTTGGTAATTGTTGTAGCCCGTACGACCTATAGTTCTTTACTCCCTCTTCCTTTGGTCGCTTGTAGAAGTTGCCTCATTGGCAATCATGCAACATCTTCGTATTATTACCTTGTTTAGTAAATTAAAGGCAATGGTGGTTTACCAATGTTCACATCCATATTTAAGATACTTGTAGATTATCGATGGTTTTTCAAACGAGAGGGTGTTTCCCAGCTACAATCTCATCAAAGGGTGACAGTCCTGAGATGAGATGTGACCGAGAAACATCCTCGAGTTTGAAAGACCATTTATAATCTGTTTATCACTAGTTTGCCTATGGCGTCGTTGATGTTAACATTGACAACGTAACGTACGTCCTTAGTTTCTGACGATCATTTTTAACATCAAGCGAGGAGCATGATACGAAAAATTATCGCATAAAAATATCAAAGAAAATATACACAAAATTGCGATAAAAAGCAAGGTATACAAAACCGCAAGGAATCGCATTTACTCCAGAAGTAGCAAGATCGCGTGCGTCGTCAGGATAAGTGTCCTTCTGCTATGTATGCATGACCCCCCATGCGAATATATGCTCAGTCATAATCAGGAATAGGACAGAATCGGTACCTTTACAGATTAGGATACTCTTCTTATAATTGGCTTTAGTTTAGAGAACCGAAAGGATTAGGGTTAGACAGCGGTAACTGTAGTTAAATGTATCAAGCAGAATATTAACCCCTTTTCTAATCACCCGAAATTTTAAAACGATATATTGGAAGTATACACAAACAAAATGTTTCCGGTAAACTGAATAAAATATCAGCGGGAAAAGGGGAAAGATGATTACCATACAGACTGAATGTTTTGCAAAAAGTAAGATATTTTCATTTGTAAAACAGAGATTTATCTTCGTTTGCTATTCTCTTGATTAAACAAATTTATCGTTAATTAATAATGGCGATATCTTCCCTTATATTTTCGGTTGTCTTGGGTGAACTTACTGTCAAACATATCTGATTAACACCATTCCAAGGAGATAAAGTTTTACACTTTTAGTGAATCCCCGCTTTTGATTTCTAGTCAAATATATATAGTTAATTGAATTAGTTCAATTTAATTTCTGGTAGACCCAGCAATAGTGGATTGTAAGGACCTTAATGTAAAATAGGGAACAAAAAAAAATGACATGTACTTAATGTACATAATTATGGCATTTGTATATTACACAGTTAATTCTAAAAAGCATTATGTTTGATATATTTCCAAAAAGGAATAACTGAATTTGCAATTTTGTACATTTAAGTTATTAACATTTTTTTTATTTGACGTGGCAATCTTATCTTTTCGGATATAATATTTACTTCATCTTCGAAACATGTATGCACATTGACAGGTATATATAATCTGACGAGTATAATTCTCGACACAATCCATATGAGAGGGGGATAGAAGTGGTGTCATTCCGAATTCCCGAAAAAATAAACGCTAAATTTCGAATTCCACAAAAAATCAAGCATTCTTTCCCGGATCCCGAAAAATTAATCATTGATTCCCGAGCCCCGATACGCGAAAATCCCTAATATCCGCACAAATGGAGGCCTTATCCCGACGTCCGAAAAAATGTCCTTCCGCCCCTCATGAGAACTTTAAATATATGTTTCACATTGATTAATTTTAGCTTACGGTGTTTTGGACTATGTAGCAACAATCAAGCAGAACCAGCATATGGAGTATATATCTCCCAGTTATACAATACTCCAGGGCTTGCATTTTTCTATCATGATTTCCTTGATAGAAGACTGCTGCTCACAAGGAAGCTATGAAACCAAAAGTTCCAAGTGGTGAAGATGAAATCATCCCTTCGAAAACTTAACGTACCGTCATTACGATTTGGTTAACTGTTATGGAAAATCTTATTCACATTCCTCTTTTCCTCTAATGTAACCTACCGAATCAGAATGTTTAACAGATTTACTCTTACATGAGCAGCACGACGGGTGCCACATGTTGAACAGGATCTTCTAACGCTTCCGGAACACCTGAGATAAGCTCCGGTTTTGGTAGAGTTCGTGTTGCTCAGTCTTTAGTTTTCTATGTTGTGTTTTATTTACTGCTGTTTGTCTTTTGATCCTTTTTCTGTTTTTGCCACGGCGTTGTCAGTTTATTTTCGACTTATGAGTTTGAATGTCCCTTTGGCACATTTCGCCTATATAGTTGGCACATTTCGCATTGAGGATTGATTGATGACGATAAGTCATTAAAAAAAGAAGCTGAACAAACCAAGGAATCAATCGGTTCCATAAGTTAAATAAAAACAGAAAATACCATGACAAAAAAAAAAAAAAAAAAAATATAACATAAAAAATAAGTCTACAAAAAACTTATCGTTGGTCTTCATTCCAAACAACAGGCAACCAAATTATGATGGCGTACGTAAACATTTCAAAAGGGTGACTACAACATAACCATTAGTAAAACTTGTTTTAATAGCTTCTTTTTAAACGCTCTTGTTCAGCAAGATTAACATAAAGACAACATTGACAGATACTGTCAGGATATTTGACTAGTATGTGAAAAAGGAAATTGTCATGGATTAGATAATTAAGGGCCTTGTTAACAAAAAGTTTTAGAACAGATCTTTCCCTACGTCAGTTTTCTTAATGTCAAAAGGTCGTACATGTCTTTTTAGACATTATGCAAGTTGATGGTTTTAAACTTGTTTTTTTTAAGTATAGAAATTTGGAGATTAGAGAGGAGTTAGAGTTTCCTAGCATAATTATTAAATAGGATTCAATAAAGAAAGAAGACAGTGACTAATGTATTGCGTAAACACATTAGATGAATATATGGTAGAGGTTATGAAGTGGGAACAATTATGAAATGTAATTGATGAAAAACGACGATGACCATTGCTACTTCTATACCGAGAAGTAGATAAATCAATCATTTTCAATGAGCTGCAGCAAAAATTCGTGATAGATATAATATTGTGAATTTGATATGACACCATAGTTCTTGATTTAATGTTCTTCCTTTTGTTTGCTTGAAAAAATCCTAGATTATGATTTTTCGTCCCGTGGAATATTTGGCCGATGAAAGATCTTTCATTGAAAAGGGATTCTTGTTTATCAAACAATATAAATAGCATTATGATTAATGGTTGAACTATTACTTAGTACCGGTTTCTGGCGAATGGAACACCTGCAACTTAATGTTTACATGTTTTGAAGTTTTTGCTTTAACAGTAATGAAAAAAAGATTGATTAAAGATGTCATCGGCGGGTTTCATCTACAACTCATCAGTGACGCTCGAATGAAAAAATTAAAAGACTAAATAAAGAACGAAATGAAGAGCATTGAGGACCCAAAATTCCATGATTATCTTTTATCTGGCATTAAATCAAAAACCAGTACATATATTAATGTGCAATCCTCTTTTTCATTACGTTTTTCCTTTGGGCGAAGCGTGGAATGATCATTATTATTTGATAAATTCCGATATCAGATTTATCAGTTATGATTTTTTAACGATTTTTTTTTCTCATAGTGCCCACATGCCCATATGGCGCATCAAATTGATTGTGGTGCCTTGTTATTTTCCTTGATTACAACAGAGTCGTTTGCACTGTTGGGCTAAAATTGAACTACAAACCATTGAGGGTATCATTTATCTGGTAGTAAGCAGCCTTCTTTTAGAAATATGTTTGTTCGATACTGATACTTAAAATAAGCAGTTGCCACAAGAATTGAAGTTTTTCAAATTCTAAGGTTATCAATCGAATTGTTCTTGTAAAGTTTTGGTATTCCTTTTTATCTAACTCTTTTATTCCCCAAAACAGATTTTGTAAGGTAGTTAATAAAAACCATTATATAAAATTCAAACTTTACACCGATTTAAAAAAACAAATAGATGACTTAACAGTTATAATTTCATTACAGCACATTTCCTTAAATATAGGAGTTGTAAGTTTTATTTCTTTTTTAACTATGTTGCACTATTTATTGCAACTTTTTAAGATCAATCAGATCAACATTCATATAAAAAAAGTAAAACAACAAAAATACCGAACTCCAACGAAAATTCAAAACGGAAAGTCCCTTAACAACTGGCAAAATCAAAAGTTCAAACACATCAAACGAATGGAAAACAACTGTCATATTCCTGACTTGGTATAAAGTATAAAGTAATACACTACAATTTAATTGACTTTAATAGAAAGAATACAGCGTGTAAAGTTAATTAACAATATTCCTCAAACATAAATGCATCAAAATTTTGACTTTTAAAAGAGTATTTTGAAGGAGAGATTTATTGTTAAAATCTTGTATGTATATAATATTAACCCCTTTTCTAATCACCCGAAATTTTAAAACGATATATTGGAAGTATACACAAGCAAAATGTTTCCGGTAATTAATGTACATGTAAAAAATATTCAATTGTTTTAAAACTATATATTGGAAGTATACACAAGCAAAATGTTTCCGGTAATTAATGTACATGTAAAAAATATTCAATTGTTATTTGTTCCATTTAGAAATTTACACAATGGCAACAGCAAATTTGGAGGAATGTGAAAATATATGCGTGGAATTGTTACATTGCACACAGTGTGAAAAACGGTATGATCAAAGCTCACATCAACCAAGAATTTTACCTTGTTTGCATACAATCTGTACTGATTGTTTGATGAAACATTTTCAATCGAATTCTTTAACATGCACGGTGTGCCAAAAATCAGTCGACATTAAAGATACATTTGAATCATCGAAGGATACATTTCCAATCGACTTCACCATAAGAGATCGAATAGAATTTATAGATACTTTAAATGAAAACAAAAATAGTATATGCGACTTCTGTGACGAGTCGAACACTGCCACATATAGATGTAAAGACTGCGAAAGCTACATATGCAAAACATGCATTAGATTTCACAACAAAAGCAGTAAATTCAAGAATCATGTTACTTGTAATCTGTCGGAAGCACTTGGTGTTTCTGAATTTTCTCATGAGGTATTTTGTACCAAGGATGGCCATGAAAACAGACCACTTGATATATTTTGCACAGGGGACGGTTGCAAAAGACCCATATGTTCTATGTGCTTCTATAAAGATCATTCTGATTCAGGAGACCATCAGGCGAAGAATGTTCAAGATGTTTTTATATTGGAAATGGAAAGAATATTTGATAAATATAAAGAAACTGAGGAATTAGGCCATGGAATAAGTGAGGTGCGAAAAAGAATCAAAGACGAGATGTCTGCCATAAAACATATAAAGGAAACAGAACAAGATAAATTGAATGAATTTTTTGCCCACTGTCATAAATTACTTGAATCAAGACAAAAAGTATTAACGCAGAAATTAGACACCGAGATTGAGTTAAAGTGTAAAGCTCTTGCTTTACAAGAAGAGGAAATCGACAGTTTTCAGGATAATATATTGACATCAAAAGTCTTTTTACAGCAATCTTCATTGTCAAAGAATGCACCTGCCTTTTTAGCATCAGTTTCCTCTGTCGACAAACAGTTGGACAAAATTAAAGAAACAGAATTTGGCAGACATTCTACGCAAATTGCAAACATGAAATTTATCGAAGACAGAGAACAGTCAGAACAAATGTTTGAACATTTAGGAATACTCATGACAACGACAGCAGTGCCCTACACATCTGAAATAGAAAATCCGAAAATCATGTACGCAAAAACAAATGGTATGTTTGAAGTTCGCCTGAAAGACAATCGAGGTAGGCCGGTGAAGGATCAAAGTATCTACATGGAGATAAGCTTTTCGGACGAAAATCAACATAAAACTTTTCCGTTCAGTGACACTGTGTCTGGTGCTAATGGTTGTTTTAAAGCCATATGCGTACTTAACAATCCAGGAACATATCAAGCTGATATCGTAATAAACGGGGCAACATTCTTTAAGATAGATAGGATTTCTTGTTTAGGATATGGTAGGTATGCTTATTAAAAAAAAAGAAATAACAAATAACACAATTCCTTGAACACACTTTTCCTTATCATATCAATAAAACATAAGCACTAAAATTGGTATATTATGTGTATATGAATTATCAGAAGATAATATATATATATATAATATAAAATAATATTTGGAAAAGGTAGAGAATGTGTAAATGGTACATTGGATCGGGACTAAACAAATGTAAATTAGCGTTAAACTCCATTTTAATTTCAAATATTATTTAAATCTGTTTTAATCATTTGATTAATACCCCACATCTAAATGACTTTTAACGTTAACTAATGTTTGTGCAAAACAGTCTTTGACACGATATGACTTTACGACTATAGGTGATAGTTAAGACAATGTGTAGTACAACAACTGTTCAGCCATTACATTTAATTTACAACTAACGTATTTCCGCCCACGGCGACGTCACTGACAATACGACGTCGACAATGGACAAGTACAATAGTACGTACGTTATGTTCCCGCGACAATCTCAACAACGACAGACGTTCTCCAGCGAATAGTTATATGTTTCATAACGAATAAAAACTGGATATCGCTTGATATCAACTCAAGTTATTTACTATCAATATAATAATAAACGAGCCTTGTGGCGAGTTTATTATTACTATTTAAATTAAATAACGAGAGTTGATATCAAGCGATATCCAATTTTCACGAGTTGTTACACCTATTTCTGGTCTACTCTTTCATTGCCCTACATTTAAAATTCATCAAATTGTTGATCTATTCTTTTGTTCATACATGTATGACGTCATATATCCTGTTCCGACGTCAACCTTCATAATCAGACATTGATTTTTTTTGTATGCGTTAGAATGTCAAAAGGAAAATTTCAGCTCAAAATGTGAGTATTTCTGAAACTGACATTATCAAGATGCTTGATTTCTTGATTGACAACATATTTGTTAATTACGATTGGAGGACATGTTTTTCAACAACAAAATCCGGATTTCCATTAGAAAAAACTGTGCTCTTCTTCTTTACGACTTGTTCCTTTATTCATATGAGGCTGAATTCATACAGGAATTTATTAGGAAGGAAGAAAAGAAGTTAGCAGTATCTTTTAACTTTACTTTCCGCTATACAGATGATGTACTTTCACTAAATAATTCAAAATTTGGTAACTATGTTGAACGCATCTATCCAATCAAACTTGAGACAAAGGATACAACAGATACGGAGGGGTTCATGTCACTCAGTCTTTAGTTTTTTATGTTGTGTTTTATGTACTATTGTTTGTCTGTTGGTCATTTTCTTTTTTATCCATGGCGTTGTCAGTTTGTTTTTGAATTATGATTTTGAATGTCCCTCTGGTATCTTTCGCCTCTCTTGTATATTATTAAAGAAATCGCATATGTCCGTTGCCATAGACGAAATGTACATCGTCGTAATCTTTAAAACTCATCAACGAAAAGCCAATGGAAATGTTGTCATATGATGTTATTTAAGCAAATCAAATTAAGTTTTTTTTTCGTATCATTCTGCGAGAAATATCTCTCCATGCAAGAAATTGATAACAGGGCACAACCATAAGATAAAGTAGTTTATATGGGCCGATATTTCGTCAAAAATGAAGCCGAACATTTTAGAGTTACAATTATGCGGAGGCAAGTTATTGTTCTTACTTCAGTGTGATTTCAACCAAAACCTCACTGACATCGTTTAAAACAGCATACACTATGTCCAGCGTCCTAAACCAGTTGGCTAACTAGGCTACATAATATAGACATATACAAATATAGTCTAGTATTTCCAACACAATAAGTGCCGTATTTTTGTTTGTTTGTTCAAGTTAGCGATTATCCTATTGGTACATGTTTCACCAACTGTTTTTCTTATGATAAAAATAAGGAGATGTGGTATGATTGCCACTGAGACATTTATCCATCAGAGTTCAAATGACGAGAATGTCAGCAATTATAGGTCACCGTAAGTACTCAACAGGCCTTCTAAAAATTTAAGTTAGACGGATCTTTACACAGTTTGGCGACAAAGTGTGATTCATAACAATACAGGAACATGTCTGATATTAAAGGGGGCACAATTATGCTAAATGAATACGTACAACCTGACGATAATCTTCATAAAATGTAAGAACAGTATCCATGTTACTTTTTTTTATTTGTTTCAGGGGAGTTGTAAACTATTGCTCTATCTTTAATGTTTAACAAAGAACATCTTCAGTAAAGTAAAGTTTCATAATATTCCCTCGGAAATGTTCAACTTGCAAGGATTTTACTGTTTTTTTATTTGAACTTTAGATTTTTAAGTTCTCCTAATTTTCTATCTTGTGTTTTACGTACTATTGTTTGCCTGGCTTGTTTTTGTTATAAATCATGTCAGTTTCGTAGCACTGACTACTGAGCTGATGATACCGTCGTGGACGAATATTTTACCGTTTTGTTTTTTTTTATTATTTTCGAAGAAACAATTTAAAGTCGTGAAATAAATAATAAAACAATAAGCCATCCAAGTGAGTTATGGTGATTGTTATGTCATTTACTTTTTCATATACTAGCTAGTTCTATGACAAATATAGTTTTTTTGAAGGACCAACCAAAACTGTTAAATCATAACGTTTCCATCTTCTGAAATTAAATAGACAGATGTGTAAAACTTGATATAATACAATTGTTTGAAGAAACACTTTTTAGAAATCCTTTCTAAAGGTTCATAACCTAGTGCCCTATGCAAGTTGCACAATTTTGAGGTATGGCAATTTCATCTTGCAATACCGTTCACTCAATCGAGCCTTGAATGGAAAAATTAAAAGAAATGAGACGGTATTTACATTCCTTTTCTAAGATGTGTCTGGGAAAATTATTTAAGTTGTCTGCAGTAAATTTTGCATGAATTGATTTCCTGTTTACCAAATTTTCATGAAATATAAAACATTGAAAAAAGAAAAAAACTATCCACTAAATTTCAAACCAAGTATACCTTGTATTTAATTAGTAAAACATTATATTTTCATTACAGATCCAGCAGAGAATAGTTCAGATTTTGTATCCGAGAACCAAATAGAAAAGGTGAGATCAATTCCAATATTGCATTACTGTATGACCTACACTAAGAAAGGGAATGGAAATTCGTATATAAACATACTAGGTCTTTTTTTGATGACTGTATGTTGACCTCTAAGTGTATATTTGTTGATTCCTGTCTCAAAACGGTTAACAAATATCAAACGTATTACACTTTTATCTGTTTTGTATGGTATGCATGCAAGGGCCATTTCTTGCCTCCTTGAATTCGAAAATAAAAAGTTTAATAAGGGTAACAAAATTAGTCTTCAGAAGTTCAAAAAATACAAGTTTTTCAGACATTTGTTTCTTATATTTGCAGTAAGGCTTCAAACTTCTGGTAAAAAGTTCAAAACTATTAAAAAACAATAAAAACCAAATTGTGTTATTTGAGATCTTTTGAAGAATCTTTAGAAATGAACCAAAACTTTAGCCGAAAAATATTTTTTGTTGCAATATATACCTAAAACATTTAAAACATTTATTCTCTTTATGAACAAACTTGTCAAGATTATATCAGCTTGTTCATTTTTCAATAAATCTACATAGACTAAGTATTGAATGCCCTTCAATAATTTTATCATTTCTATAATTTTAATGCCACGTTATGCCAAATGACTCCTTAAATACCTTCTCTTACTTAGTCGGTGACCATATGATTCTTTTACATAACTAAAACGGAATAAGAAGAACAAGAAAAATTTTACGAATATGAATTGGAGGTATGAAGATGTTAACGTTTTTCGACGATTTCATGTGCTTTCTATACAAATATTCATTTATTGTGAAAGTACTCATTCAATGATATATCAGACAATAAAAGAGATTTTCAGTTAAAGTTCAACGAGGATAAAATGTATGCACATTTTTACCAAAGTCTGTTACATAGCACATTTGCTGCCCTTTGACATTAATGCAGATAGGAATTTTCACATGTGATAATAGTTATGAAAGGTACAAGAATTATAATTTAATACGCCAGACGCGCGTTTCGTCTACATAAGACTCATCAGTGACGCTCAGATCAAATTGGTTATAAAGCCAAACAAGTACAAAGTTGAAGAGCATTGAGGACCAAAAATTCCAAAAAGTTGTCCCAAATACGGCTAAGGTAATCTATTCCTGCGATAAGAAAATCCTTAGTTTTTCGAAAAATTCAAAGTTTTGTAACAGGAAATATATAAAAATGACCATATAATTGATATTCATGTCAACACAGAAGTGCTGACTACTGGGCTGGTGATACCCTCGGGGATGAAACGTCCACCAGCAGTGGCATCGACCCAGTGGTGTAAATAGTTATCAAAGGTACCAGGATTATGATTTAATACGCCAGACGCGCGTTTCGTCTACATAAGACTCATCAGTGAAGCTCAGATCAAAATAGTAATAAAGCCAAACAAGTACAAACCACATATGCCCATATTAGTGCTAATCAGATGAAGTAGTACAGATAGACTGAATCATTACCATCTTTCTTTTGTTTTAAACAAATGCTACGTGTGTATTTTACGATAGTTATTTTAACAAGTATTTAAAATATCAAATGTTGTTTTAAGGAAATATCTGAACACCTAAATGTGAGTGGGAGTAGAAACCTTCAAAAAGAGGAAACTGAAATCACTAAAGCTCCCTCTAATGTTAAACATAACTATCATTCTGCTGACAAGAATAAAAAAAAGTTTAATCACAAAAATATTGAACTCCGAGGAAAATCCAAAACGGAAAGTCCCTAATCAAATGGCAAAATCAAAAGAACAAACACATCAAACGAATGGACAACAACTGTCATATTCCTGACTTGGTACAGGCATTTTCTTATGTAGAAAATGGTGGATTGAACCTGGTTTTATAGCGCTAAACCTCTCACTTGTATGACAGTCGCATCAAATATCCATTATATTCACAACGATGCGTGAAAAAAACAAACAGACATAATAGGTAAAAATGTAAAATGTAAGAACAGTACTCCTCTTAAAAAGAAAGGCAAAGCAGAAGAGAATAAAGATAAAGGGACAGGAAGATAGCAAGTAGACGTAACAGCGTATTGAAATTTTTATTTCAGAAAGTATATTAAATGTGTAAACCGCTATAGGAAGTAAGCATGAATGTGCAAATTATTTGCACTGGAACTGTTATGAAACAAAGCAAATCACTATTAAGTTCGACGGATGAAGTAATTTTGCTATATTGAGCTGAATGACAAATGATGGCCTTTGCCCCACAGGCCACCAAACAACAGAGCAATGATAAAGAATGGAGTAAAACTTGTTACTCCTTTACGTTTTTCGTTTGAAGTCAGCAATCTAGTCTCTTTTTTGAGCTTTTGCAAGAATTTTAATAATAGAAGGTCGCAACTTACTATAAGGAAAAAACGAAACCAAGTGTCCTTAGTAATAACATTGACCAGGACAAAAGACTAATGGAGTATATCCATGTCATGTCATAGATACCTGCGTGTTGCTCAAACTTTAGTTTGCTATGTTGTGTTTTGTGTACTATTGTTCGTTTGTTGGTCTTTTTCTCTTGTAGCCATGGCCTTGTCAGTTTATTTTTGACTTATGACTTTGAATGTCCCTCTGGTATCTTTCGCCTATCTTCTACGGATATGCTCTTTATTAAGAAAAGGTGGAAGAGATCGAAAGAACAATTAAAACTCATAAGTCGAGGAGAAACCGAGGACACTTTGGCAAAACACGAAAACCGACTACAGACAACCAACAGTCAACATTATACGAACAAATACCTGCTTTTTCAGAAAGGGTTTTGTCAAATACATTTTATAAATCTGAACAAAATCTTATTGATAATTCTAACAGAAATACATGTGATAACGTCGAAGTTGTTTTTGTCAGATCCTTTTTATAGGTACTTGTTATATCTTATAAAAAAAAAGTTGAATCACAAAAATACTGTACTCCGAGGAAAATTCAAAACGGAAAGTCCCTAATCAAATGGCAAAATCAAAAGCACAAGCACATCAAACGAATGGACAAGAACTGTCATATTCCTGACTTGGTACATGGAGGAACAACTTTTGGAATTCCAATTGAAGTGCATAACAAGCACTCCTGTATTTGAGTTGGTTATAAACGTATGATATTAATTTTTATTTTGTGAAGTTATTATGTTCATAAATGTATGCAATTAATCCTTTTACAATCCTTTTACATTTCCTGCTTTTAGAGCACTGACGAAGTTGTTTATGAGACATTTCACCACAAAGGTGGTAGGGAGTTCCAATGCATTTATGTACATGGTATGAGATTTTACCTTGATGAGTGGGCAGCTAATGAGGTAAGAAAAAAAACATAAATACAGAGTTACAAGAAGGAACTAATTTTAATATATATGTGAAAACTGTTGTACTCTCCAATTTCTTGTGGTTTATATCATGCAATCTATTTCAATGTGCAATACATTTGACTTTTAGCTTCGTTATTGCTTTAATTCAACAGTTTCTTGATTTTGATAGTGTAAGTAAATGACTAGAAAAAATATTTGAATTATCAATTAATATACCCTAACAGGTTATCCACAATATCAATGAAGAGCAGCACAAGGATATGCAAATGTTTTGTATATCTGAGAAAAAGAAAGACCTGCTAGGGAGATAGTTTGTACAACTACATTAAAACATTAAAACTTTTATTGAAAATCAGCAATTAGACTGATAAAAACAAAATCATGAAAAAGACAGCCTATATTTTGGTACAAAAAGGCTAGAATAGTTTACCGATTTTCAAATCTCGTAAATCGAGTAGGAAGATACAAACAAGGTAGCAAACAGAATCGAATAAACATAAGTAGGAGCGAGACCAGATGAGTTGATATGATAAGCGTCGCCTGCTATGCATATATTACCCGCTCCATGTGATTTAACAATCAGTCAAAATGTCACAATTGAGATCTAGGACACAATCGGCAAAATTACTGATCATCCGACTTTACTGGCATCTAACGATCTATGATCAGAAAACAACTCGCTAGTGAGTCACCGACACGTCGTATCGGTCCACTAATTCGTGTTGGTGACCCTTAAACTTATGTAGTATCGATTGCAGTCGTTCTTCCTCATAACTCTGTTGGAGCAGTTTGTGTGAAAGAAGTCCTCTCCTGTTTATGAAGTCCGTATTGTATGAATATGCACGAGCGTGACTTAGAAACTGAGATATGTTAACGCCATACGGTATAGCAGAGGGTATGTTACTGCAAAGATATGGGAAGTTGGCATTTGGAACGTTGAAATCATCACGTTTGTCATAGATTCTAGTTTGAAGTCGTCTTTATTGTATGATTATAAAGGAAAAGATCAAGATAAGAAGCAGATCATCTGCTTTCGGTAATATCCTTTGTAAATAGTTTACTAGTATATATAAGATGTAAGCTCTTTTTGAAATTTGGATACTTGAGTGACAGTGTCTTTGACAAGGTTCTGAATGAATTCTGCTGCATATGAGTACCAAATTAGTTCGGCTAGGAGTTGTGCACAATTAGTACTTATTTTAATACCGACTGTCTGCTGAAATATCAATCCATCAAACAACAAATATGTTGACAAAAAAATCCCAGTGTTGATATCATCATCACCAAACAAACATTTAGTGCACAAAGGACTCATAAGACACGCTCGATTTAATAAGTTGGAAGGTCAAATCAAATATGAAATTGACAAGAATTAAAAAACCGAAAATTCTTAAAAGTTGTACCAAATACTCCTGAGGCAATCTATGAATGAGAGGGTGGTACAATTACATTAGTGTTTCGAATGGTTTAACATTTCATAAACAGTTACTGTAGAGAAAATAAACATATTGATGATATTTGATGTCTTACAAAAGTGCTGACTTACGTCTACTAGCAGTGATAAAAAGGATAAACAATATCTTCCACCCTAAGAGCACATACGGCGCATAAAACAAATGCAAAAAGTAAATGGCATCAACATTTATAAAGACGACCCTCTGATTGTGTTTGGCTGAATGTTGATGTTTTCCAAATCTATGTGTTTATGAGAATTAATGCGTCAATTAGCACTAATGTACTATGTTTAATTACTTTTAAGTCTTCCCTATGAAGTTCATGCGATTACCTGAGTTGTTGTTTGGAACCTTGACTTGTATCTCCTTACCGATTATGAGATAACAACATTGGTAAATTACTGTTGTTTAAATCTGTGACAAAGACGATGTGTAAGGTTTTACAGTTCCGGATACAGCATAAACTTGGAGCTGGCATGTCAGTAACTGCTAGTAGTCTGTTGTTATTTATGTATTATTGTCATTTTGTTTATTTTCTTTTGTTTCCTATTCTGACATCGGACTCGGACTTCTCTTAAACTGAGTTTTACTGTGCGTACTGTTGTACGTTTGTTTTTTCTACATTGGCTAGAGGTATAGGGGGAGGGTTGAGATTTCAAAAAACATGTTTAACCCCGCCGCATTTTTGCGCCTGTCCCAAGTCAGGAGTCTCTGGCCTTTGTTAGTCTTGTATCATTTTTAATTTTAGTTTCTTGTGTATATTTTGGAGTTAAGTATGACGTCCATTATCACTGAACTAGTATACATATTTGTTTAGGGGCCAGCTGTCGGACGCCTCCGGGTGCGGGAGTTTCTCGCTGCATTGAAGACCCATTGTTGGCCTTTTGCTGTTGTCTGCTCTATGGTCGGGTTGTTATCTCTTTGACACATTCCCCATTTTCATTCTCAATTTTATTGCATATCTTTACCGCACATTTACTACGTTAACTTAATTTGATCACATGTTTCATTGCTCAGATTATGTGAAGCGGTCAGATTACGTCTTACAGGTTGATGTCTGATCCTCACATGCAGTTCATGAAAGGTCAACATTATTAAAAGTATCTGAAAATATAATGCCTTGCTTATATTTTAAAACATATAGAGATGACTCAGTTTTCAAATTTCGCTTGTCAAATTAACTAGAGGATAGTAATCGACCATACATGTGCGTCAAACGTACAATTATAACAAGAATAAAATGACAAAATGATCAAATAGTCAACAGAACAAAACACATTTGCCCATTAGCTTTAAAACTATAATGGAGAGAAACTGAAACGACAAAAACATAAGCAGCAAATGTTTTACAAACTTTGAACATTCACGGTCCTACATTCTGTCGATACCTATATTTTGGTATTGCACAAGGTCATGCTTTTAAAAAGTAAGATCACAAAAATACTGAACTCCGAGGAAAATTCAAAAAGGAAAGTCCCTAATCAAATGGCAAAATCAAAAGCTCAAACACATCAAACGAATGGGTAACAACTGTCATATTCCTGACTTGGTACAGGCAACGGACTGTTTATAAAGTCTTTACAGTGAATTCATTATTGCGTTTTGATGTCTACTGAATAATATTTCAGTCTTTATAGATACATGTTTTTTTTTATAGTTGTCATTTGCTGTAAACTAACGTTCAGTAACTTCGAGTACTTCCCATTTCTGTTCTTGTCGAGTCTTTTGTTTTTTTGTTACTTGTTTTAGTGATTTGTATCGGTCTGATGAGCAAAGCCCTTGTCAACAGATTTTTATGGTTTGTAATTTTGCTGTACTGATACACCACTGTCCCAGGTTAGGGAGAGTTTAGTTGTACCTATAGAAAACTTATTTCAAATGGAATAGCACATCTTAATTTTTACGGGAATTTTTGTTTACCGAGCCCGGAATTTTTGATATGATTGATATTTTCGTTCTAGCTTAGTTTTATCAGTTGTAATTTGAACTAGCTATTAGAAACTGAGAGTACTTAATTTCGGATATTTACTTAATGTCTCTCTTCTTTGTGGGATGTATAGATACACTGCCACGTAAGGTGATATTTTCTGCTTTGTTCCGATCTGATTAGTTAGCTTTTTTTCAAGTGGTAGTTTGTTATTATGTTTGTACTGTTACACAACTGTTCCAGGTTTGGCGAACCAGTTTAACATACCCACATTCTGTAAGTGCCTGCCCAAATTCAGGAGCCTGTAGTTTAGTATTTTTCGTTTGTTCATGTCTGCCATATTTGTTTTTCGCACATAGTTTTGTTATAAATTAGAATGTTAGTTTTCTCAATTGAATTGTTTCATTTTTTCATGCCGGGACATACTTGTTATATTATAGTTCGTTTCTGTGTGTGTTGCATTTTAGTGTTGTGTTTCTGTTGTGTCTTTGTTCTCCTCTTATATTTGATGTGTTTTTCTCGGTTTTAGTGTGTGGCCCTGATTTGTTTTTTTCTCAATCGATTTGTGAATTTCGAATAGCGGTATACTACTGTTGCCTTTATTTATTGGCTTCATTTGAATTTTGGTGGATAGTTGTCTCATTGGTAATCATACTACATCGCCTTATCTTTATATTAACCTCGCCTTGTTCTGTACGTACATGTCCCAAGTCAGGAACCTGTAATTTAGTGGTTGTATTTTGATACTTTATATCACATTTGTTTTCCATTGATTGTTTTGTAAATAAATCACGCTGTTAGTTTTCTCATTTGTCATTTTGGGACCTTTTATAGCTTGCTGTGCGGTATGGTTTCGCTCATTGTTGAAGGTAGTCCGGTAACCTATAATTGTCTACTTTTTAGTAGCAATATACAAACTTCACATGCATATGGGATATAAATTTCCCAACTAATTCGGTATTCAAGAGCTTGCAGCTGCTACTATGACTTTGTAAAACGTCACCAGTGTCTGAGCTGAAAGTTGGAGAACCAGGTGTATATCAAAGAACGTCTCGTCCTTTTTCTAAAAAAAGTTCATCGGAAGCTAAGATACCAATTCCTTATTGATAAATATTCCGTATCAACTTCAAAAATAATACACGATGGTCTTGAAGTATAGACTCTAGGTACTAACGGTGTTGTTTTTGATAAAGTGTTATAGTATTTTTTTTATTTGTCTTTGTAAATTAATACTTTTACTGTTTAGTCTATTTTTAGTAATGTCCATTTGACGTGGCTCGGTACTTATACATCCCGTCATTGTGTTATTGTGCTATGGTAAATTTTTGTATGCTTGTCTTTCGTTTTTGCTAATGTGATTTGTCTATATGCCTTTTTGTTTTTCTTTGTTGACATATTTGTTTGTTTTAATAGTGATTAAGATTATAACACAAAAATAGAAAATGCCTGTACAAAGTCAGAAATTTGACAGTTGTTATCCGTTCGTTTGATGTGTTTGAGCTTTTGATTTTGCCATTTGATTAGGGACTTTCCGTTTTTAATTTTCCTCGGAGTTCTGTATCTTTGTTATTTTATTTTTTTCTTCTATGTTACTTGGTCTCTATTAAAGAACTGTCTCATTTCACATCTTCTTACTTTTATAAAGTCGAAATTGTTAGTTAACTGCTTATTAATTATTGCACTGATATGACTATTTTTCCATTTTCTAAGGAAATAGCGATAGAAAATAGAGCGAAAATAGTAGGCATCAAACATTATTAGCAAGACAAGGTCTACGAATTTTTCAATAGAGACAAAATTGTCATTTAACTTCTCATTTGAGTTTTCCCTGGAATGATGATTTTTACTCATTGTAAGTGTTTTGGGCAAAAATTATTATACATGGTAGACAAAATTATCAGCAAAACAAGATAAAAGCAGAGTTTAGTAATAAATAACGACAACCACTGAACAACAGGTTCCTAACTTAGTAGAGGTGCAAACAAATGCAGCGGGTTTAAACGTTTTAACAGGTGCCAACCGTCACCTCAACCTTGAACAGTAGTGTAACATTACAACATAGTTCAAAATTGACTTTAAAAGATTGAGCTATTTTTACCTTCTTTAAAATTATTTCCTCTGTTATAATACATAATCGTTTTGGTAAAAAGGTTTGCTCAATTTTATATTATCAGGAATGGCAACCATTTCCACAGAGGTGGTACCAGGAGGGCCTGTTGATTTCCAACACTGTTCTCAAAAGTTAAAACTGTAAGTGTTTGTATACTTTTAGTTTATCGAGAATGAAGCAATACAATGTTGGTTTCAGTAAAGCACAAGGTATGATGGGACCATTTATTTGACTCCTTGAATAAAGAATAAAAAAAAATAATACTATAAATCTACAATTTACCATTCTTCAGATAATTATAAGACATTAGTTTGTCAAACATTAGTATTTATATTTTCTATTTTTTTCGCAAATAGTTTTTTGGAATTTTTGCAAAACCCCAAAAACTGTCAAAATAGCCCAGTTTTAGAATTATGTAATTAATATTTAGATATCAGCAAAGGCTTTTCACGGAACGTTATTTTGCTACTAGATTATTTTTACAATTTGTAGAGTCTGTGATTAATGAATTTACAATGTTTTCGAACGATCTACACGAACAAGGTCGAGGTCAACACCCAAAAAACTCTATAAACTTAGCAATGAGTAAAGTCGGCGTACTCTTTAAAAAATTCTGCAAAGAAACTGTTTGGGCCTAATGGTCCAAATAGAAAAACAAATAGCCGTAAAAATTAAAAAATATTCAAGTTTGGTGTGAGAGCAAGTTTTTTGCAACAAGGAAATTCTTCTTCAAAGCATGTGACAGATACAGTTTAAAAAAATATAGATGCTATGAGCAAGGAAAGCAAACAATATAAGGTTAAAATGAATACTAGGTAAAATAAGTTACAGCACAACTGTGAACAAGATTTGTGAACACATCAATAGGAGACCGCAAGAAATTTAGGAACATTTTGAATCGTTTCAGAAAAAATAAAAAAATAAAAAAATGTTGATAATAACTAGAGAACAGTTGTAGGACTATTTCAGGTCTCTAAATAAAAATGATAATGAAAACGATGGTCACAACCAGGTTTATGAAAATGTTAATAACTTAGATAATAAGATTATTATTGGTATTTTAGATTGTGAGATAATTGAAGCACATGGTGCTGATGAGATTGTAAATGAATTTATAAAAGTAATGTTGATAAATTAGTCGATATATGTAAAAATATCCAACACTGTATTAGATACTGGGATATTTCATGATGCATGATAAACTGGTATAATATAAGTTGTATTTAAAAATCGAGCAGATAAAAATTATCTCAATAATAATCGAGCAATTTGTCTGACTTCAAATTTGGGCAAGGTGTTTAAATCTATTTTAAACACAAGACTTAGTAAATTGTCTACTGAAATTGGGATTATTTTGGACTTACAAGGTGGATTCCGAAATGGATACTCTGTCCAAGATAACATGTGTTTTACACAATATTATTACAATATATCTATCTGCTGGAAATGCATTTTTCTGTGCATTTGTTGATTTTAAAACGGCCGGGCGTTCGACACGGCGGGGCTTTAGCAAAAAAAAAAAAAAAATATGAAAAAATAAAAAACAACGTTAGAGGGAAATTGATAGATAAAAAATATTTACGCAGATATTTAGCCTTGCGTTCAATTTAATAATTTGAAACTGAATTTTTCATGTGAAACCTGTGTTAGGCACGGAGAAAAGTTATCTTTCTTTTCTTTTTGCTGAACGATTTAAAAGACTTTTTGAGTCGACAATGAGTCCATGGTTTATAATACTTAGATTCATAATGTATATGTTAGCAATAAGTGAAATTAGGCATTAAGATTAAATCCTAGGCAATAAGCTAACGCCTAGGCATTAAGTTATTGCCTGAAATTTCCAGACATTAAGCTTATTTCCGGAAATCTGATGAAGATTATACAACCTATTGCCAAACATCATTTCAGGCAATAAGTTAATTTTGGGATTTTTGTTTATCTTCCAAATACATGTTAATTCAGTGAAATATTCTTGATGAATAATATTAAAAAAAAATATATTCCAAAAATAAATATAAACTGATTTAAAAGATCTTCATCTTTTAGTGTTTTTTCGTGTTTAAAACAGAACTTACTCGTATTTCTTTGTGGTATTGCTCTTCAATGGTCGAGCCGGTTTCAACTGGTCAAAAATAGACATCTAAAGATATGAAATTTTGCCATTCACATCATCTTTCCATCTGTTTTATTGGATATATATTTTCTTAAATACTCATCTTGTCGTTTCATTTCATAATCTGAATTATTAGCATTTAAGAAACAAAAAACATTCTTGAATCTGTGCGGATTTCAAATTTGAATCAGGGAAAACAAGATCATATGCTCAAGGCAAAAGTACAGTCAATGTGATCATTTGGCAAAGATTAAACTTTCATAATCAGAAAATAAGGCAACTATAGACTTTTACAATTTAAAATGGTATGACAATATTTTAACATAGGTTTGAAAGACTGGTAACTAAAGTAAAAGAGAATGGTGAGGGAAATTTAAAATTTATGTCTTTCTAGAGGAACTGTATGGTATTTTGGGAAAAACACATAAAGAAATATGTCAAAGCGGCATTATTATATTATTAAAGACCGTAGAATTAAACAAATTAATAATGGCCAAATGCAAACAATTTCCGGGATTTCATTGAACTTTTTCTTCCATTTTGTGAAAATTATAATAAAATGTGCATAGGGAAGGGAGTAGTAGTAAAACCCGTTTTATTCATAGCGTTTTGCAGAAGATGACAGGTTGATTTAATCTATTTTCAAACAAAGTAAGATGGAAACTATATTTTCTTATGGTGAACCATTTATGGTAAATTTCGTTTATGTTTTCACAATATTTTGTGTGATTCATAAACAAAACAAAGGCGTGGAATTACAGCTAAGGTTATATCTGAATTAATGCTTATGTGGCAAAAACTAGTTATTGTTTACGGGAAGCCAATGCATCTCCAATCACAGTGTAGTATTGAGTGGTCAAACCGAAACATTCATGACATGCTTACTGCATGGATGAGGAAAAAAGAAATAACAGTGGCCATTTGCAATCGAATACGTCCATATACTAAAGAATTCTGCTCTACATAAAGGTATTGGACGATCATCAGGTACAAATGATGGAAAAAATAAAACTGGGAAATAGTCTGTGCCATAACTCCGCACCAATTGGTAACAAATCAATTTCAATACAATTTTCTATCAATAAGAAAATAAGGAGGTGTAGTATGATTGTCAATGAAACCACTGTCCAACAAGTTTACATATATTTTAAGAGGTTTATTTAACGAGTTTTCACAATAATATTTTTACTTATGATTTCATTTCATGTAATTGATATTTGAACTTCAGGTCTTATTATTTGATTATGTACAAAATGTATTTCAATTTTGAATAAATTTCTCTTTTCATTTACTCTTATTTTCATTTAAGGCATTAACATTAATGCCTGGACATAATTTTCAGGATTTAAGAGTAATGCCTAACATTATTTAGGCAATAGACTTACTGCCTAGGCGTTAGCTCATTTCCTAGAATTTAAGCTTAATGCCTAATTTCACTTATTGCCGCTAACATATACATATAAGTATTTATTTGAAAATGTTCGTTTACTATTATACAATTATTTTTTTCAGATAGTGCTGGTGATTTACAAAATACTTTGAATATATTTGAACAACATTGTCATACTTGAAAACTCAAGAGTCGAAAATTGATTTTTTTTTTCAAAATGTAACTGTAACAAAAAAAAAACTAAATATAAACTATAAAATAATGAAAATGTCATTCACGATACATATACATAACCTGGTTTGTTATTTAATCATAATGTAATTTTTGTAAACCAGAGACATAGAATTTGTGGACCAAGCACAAAATTTTTTTATAAAGAGTGTACTGGAAAATTAATATTAGTATTACATCAGATTTAAAGGGAAAAAAAAACTAGTTGATTTTATCGTATCCCTTATTTCTACTTATCTCTCAAAAATTTAGGAATTTGAAAATAAGATGAATATTGAGAAGATACATTAACAATTCTGCAAGTAAATTCTGGTTTGTCAGGTCAACGACCGCAAATTTCATGGTCTATCACGATCTTCGCCGATCTTGTATCGAAATTAGTATAAAGATGAACATGATTTGTTTCTGGTACAAGCTTGTAACAAATGTTGATAAACTGTATGGGAAACTCTACAAGATTATGGTTAAGTTATTTATAAAATGAAAATATATCTCTTAAGTGGATAAATTATGTAAAATCTATTTTTGATAAAACTGTTAACAGTGAAATTTAGCATGTGCAAGGAAACGTTCATTTGAACTTTCTGAACATCAAGGTTAAACAAAGAATAGATGACCAGTTCATACAGGAATTGTTTTCGGAAATCGAAAACTCATCAGGGAAAATTTTATTCACTATCTAATACTGACTTCTGCATCGAACCATATCTAACTAGACTCAGAGAATTAAGTAGACTTTATGTTTGCAAAATTCTCACTTGTAACATTAAGTTTCTAATCGAAACGGTTTTTAATCGAAACCGGGAGATGGAATAGAATGTCAGAAAATGAAAACAAATGTAAGCTCTGTAAGACTGGGTTTTAGGATGAGCATAATTATATAGTGCTTTGTTACAATGCTGACGTTATTGGTTTAATAAATACATATATTCATAATGACTATCTGACCAACTCAAATATCAACAAAGTTTATGATATGTTAAAATATTGCAACTCAAATGTATTAACTTACTTTTCTATTTTCATCTTAAAAGTAGAGATGTTGTTTTCTCTCTAAGTGATCACCTGTGTATACACTTTTTATTACTATCCCACTGGTAAATCTAATGACAAGATATTACCTTTCTTGTAAAATACAGAAATCTTGATCTTTTCAATGTTTGTCTCGTGTTAACAAGGTCGATATTAATTATAAATTCACAAGAAAACGTTCTGGTAAATAGTTACAATAAAATGTAATTGAAATAAAAACCAAATTTTTATATAATGTTATCATTTCTCTCATTAAGTAGCAAACGACAAGTACACCAGGCTGCAGGAGCTTTGTGTTAAAGTTGTTTAAAAGGATGCTTTGGGAATACATTTCTGGAGAACATGTACCATCTTCAAATTATTTTTTACTGGCTGCACACCTACCTAGAACACGTCAATTATCCGTATATGTATGCAGCGAGACAAGATAAGTTCAGGGAAAAAAACCACTGGAATTTATTGTTATGAAACAAAGATTGACAAGTTTGAAATTATGTTACTATGCAAATTCAAACGGAACTTATCCCGATGTAAAGATTGAAAGTGAATAGATCGAGAAGACCTCAAATACATGAACAGAAATGTTATTTTTTCATTGGATGTCCAGCAACCTACCTTGAACAATAAATTCACATATTAAAGACAAATTGAGGGAAAATTTGGAAAAATAAAAACGTATTAGGAACTTTTCAAATATTTTTTTTCATTAATATTGATGTTAAACTTTATTTTTTGATTTGTTTGATTTGTTTGTTTTGTTTTGTTTGTTTGTTTGATTTGTTTGATTTGTTTGTTTCGTGTTGTATTTTTTTGCCGGGATTCTCATATGCCAAAAAAAAAAAAAAAAAAAAAAATATTATCCGTTGAGAGCAAAACAGAAGACAACCATAACAGAGTCAACAGACTTAAATAATACAGACGGGCAGGCATATCATGCTTCCTAGAAAGGGAACAATTTCAACATTTACTTTCCAGGTACGGTGGGAAATCTAGTGACAAAATCTTACCTCCCCTGTAGGTTTGGGTAAAATTGGTTTAAAATGTTGCTATGCGAATAAATTCCTGGAGTACCAACTTCAATTTATTTTTCTGCTGGCTGTTCACCTTTCCGGAAAACACCAGTTACCCGTATACGTATGCAGCTAGATCAGAGAAGTCAGGAAAAACCCAAATGGAATCGATAGATAAAGAAATAGCAAAGTTTAACACATTTTGAAATTTAGTTACTACTAAGCCAATTCAAACGGACCTCATCCTGATGTAGACATGAATGTCAATAAATCGGAAAGACCGGAAATACATGAACAGAAATCAAGACGACCTTTTCTTATAACTGTGTAAAAATATAGTAAATACCATATAACGGATAGCCTACTTCATAAAAATGGTTATCATTAATTTTTCAATCTGCGCAAACATTACTTTAAATTTGTATATTCAGCGAAAAGACAATATTTCTATATGAAAAGTATATACAATTTTAAAAGATCTTCTCACATGAAACTACTGAACCAATTACAAACAAACTCGGGGTTAATCATCCTAAAATTATTTAGTATCAATGACGCTCGAGGCCAAATTTTTTGAAAATACAAAATCCTTTACAAACTTCAAACGGCTGAAAAGAGAGGACAACTATTTACAAACTCAATAAATGATGTGAAAGAAAAGCAGAAAACACATTAGCTATTACGAAAAACGATGAAAATACAAACAACAGTATACAAAACACTTCACAGAATTCAAAACTAAAATCTCAACAACACGAACCCCACCAAAAACTGGGATAATCTTAAGTTCTGAGGATGGGCTATCAGGTCCTGCTCTGGTAATTGAACTCGTCATCTTCATCATGGAAAAGTGTCGATCCAACAAAATCCAGAACAAAAGAACATTGTTAAATGTTGAAAAAAAAAATTACAAGCACACGATAAAAACGGTTACATAATATCTATTTAAAGCCATCATACTTTACCAGGTTTAGTTTATGATATGTTCCCTTACAATTACAGGCAATATGTCAGAAGTGCAGGGCGAAATCCTGATAAATATAAATACAATTTTGAAAAAAGTTCTGGAGTTTATGTTGAAAGGCCTAGAATATTTATCAGCGTTTATACAACACTTAAATGAAATAACTGCCGGGAGATGTCAGGATGATTACAAATAGATAGCCAAAGTCCTGTTTCCTTTGATTGAAAAGGCAAAAATTTGAATTTGATGAAATGGCGGCAAACGCTGAAAGTTTATTACAACAGATAAATTCCGATATCGAGCAATGCGTTGCTGATTTGAAGGAAAAAAATGACAAGCTAAAGAAAACAGTCTCCGATTTGAATGAATTGGATATAGAGTTAGAAAGGACAAAAAAAGTTGTGGACAATGCCAATGATCAATGCAGGAAAAACAGAGAAGATTTGTCAGCTGCCAAAAACGCACTCTTGGATGCAAGACGTAAGCTCGAAGATGCAAAAAGTGTGCAGAGTGCAACTTTTCTTGTCGGAGCAACAACTGTAGTAGCTTTCTTTGCTATGTTTGTTCCGCCCTTGGGTATAGCTGGTATGACAGCCGGTCTGGGTACAGCATTAGCAGGCGTTACAGTCCTAAATATTGTTAGTTCTGCTTGCAATGAAATGCTGTCGAGTAAATAAGCACTGGAAATGGCACGAAAGACAAAAACTGTAGTAGAAAACAAGTTGGACAGTGCAAACATAAGAAAACAGCAAATAATGGCCAAAATGGAAAAAGTAAAAACTGGCAAAAATGGACTTGAGGCATATCGAAAACTTATAATAATATTCGCCGAAGATTACAAGAAATTTCACTGCCAACTTTCAGATTTTTATGGCAAATATAAAGTCCTTAGATGCGAAACAGCTGGTGGATATTCTCTTCAAATGCTTCAATCGTCAACAAAGATAATAGGTGTTTCAATCTCGTCGTTGTGTCAGTGCGCGGCAATCAAAGAATTATGTGAACAGCCTATGCTATCGATTATGAGAAAACATCTGCTTTAGATCGACTGTGTTAAACGTGAAACTAATGAGCAATATTCAGAAACGAAGGATTTTTGTAAGGATTATCTAATTTGTAATAACTTTCATCTTAAACTTGCTGTAAAGTTAATGTCAAAGTTTCACTGCGTAAAAAAATGCATTTCATTATAAATATAAAGTTAATCATAATAATAATGTATAATGTATATTTCTTAATGGAACCAGATTATCATTTAGAAAATATTTAATCGATTCAAGATTTCAATTATAAAAATTATAAAAATGACTGCATTAAAAAAATTGGCAAAATGAGTTGTATGTAGATAATGTTCAATTAATGTAGTATGCTTTCCATATATTAACTTTCTTTTTGAAAATTAAAATAGCAATTCGTTAATTTGTTGGCTCCTTTTCCTAAATTAAGTTTCATCAGAAACCCTCATACCAAAATGCAAATAGCTAGAATTATATAATTCCAATCATTTTGATATTATTTTATCGATATTAATGTTATATATTTATGTTAAACGACGATGAAATAGTCATTTCGTCCTTTACATGAATGAAGAATGGTATTACCCTAAATGAAGGAAATGTGGTGAAACTGACATGACATGTGCACGATGACGATGATGATTTCTGATGTAAGTAACATGCTTTGAAGATACTGTATTGTCTAAGTTTTCCAAATTTGTGTGCTGATATGACGGATCTGAGAAGCAACATTTTAGCCTTGCTCACATTGATTAATCAACGTTTTCAGTAGAATTCAGCTAGTTTTGATGCGTTTTTTAGCTCACCGGGGCCCGAAGGGCCCCATGTGAGCTTATGCCATCACTTGGCGTCCGTCGTCGTCTGTCGTCGTCTGTCGTCGTCGTCTGTCGTCGTCTGTCGTCGTCGTCTGTCGTCGTCTGTCGTCGTCGTATGTCGTCGTCGTCTGTCGTCGTCGTATGTCGTCGTAAACTATTTCAAAAATCTTCTCCTCTGAAACAACTGGGCCAAATACCTTCAAACTTTAACTAAATGTTCCTTAGGGTAACTAGTTTATAAATTGTATCCGAAGTATTGATCCATCGACAAACATGGCTGCCATGGCTAAAAATAGAACATAGGGGTTAAATGCAGTTTTTGGCATATATCTCAAAAACTAAAGCTTTTAGAGCAAATCTGACAAAGGGTAAAATTGTTCAATTGGTCAAAATCTATCAGCTCTGAAATTTTCAGACGAATCGAACAACCCATTGTTGGATTGCTGCCACCGAATTGGTAGTTTTAACAAAATTTTGCAGTTTTTTTGTTATTATTTTGAATATTATTATAGATATATATAAACTGTAAGCAGCAATAATGTTCAACAAAGTAAGATCTACAAAAAAGTTAATATGACCATAATAGTCAATTGACCCCTTAAGGAGTTATTGCCCTTTAAAGACAATTTTACACAATTTGTTCATCAAGTTTGCTAACATTTAAAAATCTTCTCCTCTGAAATACAGGTGAGCGATTCAGGCTCTTGAGAGCCTCTTGTTTTTTTGCCAAACTGGAGCTCCATGTGTTATGCAAGAGTGATCGTTCTTATCATAAAAAAGTAGTTAATTTTTAACAACGGTATTGCGTATTGAAAAATAATTGTAACTATGAAATAAAACGAGTTATTGTGTAGAATTCATTGTCATGCATAATTGTCAGTGTAGTAAAAGCCTACACGAGATCTGCGAAAGTAGGTAATCACGGATTTTGTACGTGCCAACATTTTTTGTGTGTTTTTAACGTAAACAACTTGGTAAGTCGAAAATTATCTGTCCCACACAACGTCCGTTTCGTTCTCCTGACTTATTCATTTCGCTTTTGGCTTTGTGAATTTAGAAAAAAACTTAAATTTTAGCTGTTATCTTTTATCGTTTAATAACGTATCTGTCAGTTATATTTAGTGTTAAAAGACGGTGAATTTCTTTATACATTTTACTTGACTTTGATGTTTTGTCCCTAAAGATTTTGAGCCCAACCTTGGCTTAAATTTGGAATTGTGTTTTGTTACTTATGCATATATTCATTTATATATTGTTTCTGTTGAATCACTGACATTATGAGCAGGTTCTCTGTATTAAAATGTGCGAAGTAGTTGGATTTTAAACTTATTGAAGTTATCATATCACGTTATAGAGAAAGTCTGAATAACTATACATTCCAGGGAAATAATGTAGCAGAGATACGATAGGCAGACGCCCAATATGATAATTTATTTCCCTTTCATTTTCCCCATGTTGTACCCAATAATCCACAGGTAAAATATTAAAATCAAGCTGACCATCTTCTCACCGCACTGAGTATTTATGAACAGTAGCATACACACTATAAATAAGCTCTTGAATACAGTTCATTCAGTTTTATGTTGTAAGTAATTGGATACGCGCGTCTTTCTTGTAGTGGGAATGAAGATATATTTATTTAAGTCGTTTCGCATCTTGAAGAGTTTGACAATATCCAAACCTCTAAAAAGATTGTTTTTATGTTTCCTTGAACCTTGTTAAGTTAATCAAAGTTTATTTCTTGGATTCTATGTAACCTACAACTATGTGACTTGACGTGAAAGTGAATCTAGCCGAGTTTGACAGCGTTCAATACTAATTTAAACACTTATATCTTTATTTTAAATGTTATGTAAAAATAATATTAACACCTGCACCACAGCAAAAATACATCACTTAACATAATAATCTTATGAACACAGGTGTGTAAACATTAATTCACTATTTTGAAATTCATGTGCAAAGTTTATAGTAATGAAGAAGTAAGCTTGGCTTCACAGTCGTTCTAAAAAAAACGCAAACGAATGTCACAATGCTTAGAACTATAATACAAAAGTGAGGTAAAATTTGGGTATTGTTTCAGAATTAAGCCCATTTATCAATGGAAAATTTTCATTTTTGTTGTTCCAATAAATTCGACCCTTAATTTGCCTTGACCACTTTTTTTCTT